ATTACCAACACTTAACCTATGTGATGGACAGCACAAGTGGTTTGATAGCTACTGCAGAAAACAGACACAGACATACTCTGTTGTTGATGTTTGTGCTTCATCTCCTTGGATTTGCACTGAAGACACAAATTCATTTTCATGTGGGCTAGCACAGTTAAATCTGCTCCCACATCCCTGCCTGCAGTCCTGACCCTGTGGACACTGCTGAACTTGGGGCTCTATCAGAGCAATGTCCTATGACTTCAACCCTGGGTTAGCTCCAGACAGCAGGAGTGTACAGAGCTGCTCCTTGCTGATAGCTTTGCCTTACAGAGAAGTCTTCATGCTAGGCAATTATATATTGGTTTTCACTTAAAGAAGACAGATACCTGCATCTAGCAGGATGTGTACCATGGTTGTAGTGAGTGACAGTTTCATTCATCAGACCCTTCTGGGATTAAAAACTGGAAGAAACAAGAGCAATAGTATCTGACAGTGCTTGTTGTTGAGCCTGATGTTCAGAACAGCCTGTGCCTGGTCTGAAGAGGCATTTCTGAACAGGGACTGTGGCTCCCCACAGCAGGCCAGCAGCACTTCTGTGGTGCTCACCTTGCCTTCAACTGAGAGGAAACAGGCATTACTCAAATCTGTGCTAGAGGAGAGGAAACCACTGCTTCATCAGCTGGTGCCTCACAGTAAACACAATGGCAGTCACAGCAAATCACCGGGTAAGATGTGGGTAGAAATGTGTCAAAGCACACATTCATTAAAAGTACAATGCTACCAGTCATTATGCTCCTTAAAGTGATTTAACTACAGTTATTAGCGAGCAGACAGTTTCACTGGACAAGTTGTATTGCCCTGTCAGTAAGCACCAGAAACACACAGCCTGTCTAGAGCTGGGAGGGGCCAACAGTTCATATCCATGCTCATTAGCACCATCTCAGTCCCCTTCGGTTTGACTTATTTCTTGTTCCCCTTCTTTCAGGTAATTGTGCTCTCCACTGCACTCCTAACACCACACAGTGCTGTTGAGCTGTTGTTTGCCCCAGACTGTCTCCAGCCTGACACTGATATCTGACCGGAGGATCTGTGGAGATGAGTGAGTGCCTCACCTGGAAACATCCAATCCCTGGTCTGTCACTCTTCCTAATAGCTCTCTAAAAACTGACCACCTGCTGCAGTTACAGCTCCAGGTGAAACAGCTGGGTATCTGACTGCAAGGGAGCATGGGCAGCTCATGGGCAGCTCTTCAAAATGGTCCAGTTGTCCAGCAACAAGTCCCTCCTCGTTAACAATAGCACTGTGCAGCGCTGAATTACCCCCAGCGCCACTTGGCATGGGGTTCCCTAGAAAAGGAGCAGCTGAGGACCAGGTGATGCTGAATTTGCACTCCCCAAGCAGTACATTTTTTGACTCTGAGCATTCCCAGTGGTTTTGCTGGGGTTGCTTCTGGTGGGAAATGCTGCTGAAATGCTAACAAAAACCTCACTCGGTCATGCTACTTCGAAAAACAAGTGTGCCTTATACAATGTTAACAGCCTCTGCTCTTACTTCATCCCTCGCTCCAGAAAGATCATGGAGCACAGCCTTGATTGAGCTGGTACAGCAGCTCCCAGTCCATTGACACTCCTGACAGAGCTAGTAGAGGCAGGGAAGCAGAGAGCTAGACTCAAGGGCTGGGTTACATGGCTGCTTCTCTCTCAGCTTTTCATTTCCTGCTCTAGTTTCTCCACCCACTGTCCCAGGAGACTGTTTCTGATGGCACACTTCTCTGTAAATTTACACAGGAGGACATATGGGCTGTGATGGTTTGACGATAACCCCAGAAGAATCCTCCCCTCACATGCATTTAAAAAAGAAAAAGAGGAAAAAAAAAAAAGGCATGATCCCATTTTCAAGAGGCCACAGCATAGATTCTTTCTTGAGCTAGATTTCTGAACAACATGATTAGAGAACAGCTTTTATGTCAAATTTTATTTATAATCTTCAGTTATGCAATTTTTCTTTATAAAACTTTGCTACAATCTGTGATAAAAAGCAGCAGCCAATAGAGATTGTGATTGTGTATAGCACTAAGACTTTCAAATTGCAGCAAAAAATCTAAAGCTGCAGCCTCTTGCTTCATCCAAGGAACACTACGACTAAAGCTTACAGTGAGATGAGAATGTGAAATTATAAGTGACATTCACTCTATCATAGCATTCTTTATTATGCCAAAGGAGTAGATTAAATGGGAAGTAGTTTTTTAAATTTTGTTCACTAGCTAGCATTAGGTCTCCTAAATGTCTATAATGATCTTCAGAAAAGGGTGCATTTTGGTTTAAGTTCAATTCTGAGTGGCTGGAAGCAAACAATGGACCAATTATAAAGCATGGACAATGTTGCCTCTATGGAAGAGAAATTTATAAGAATGACTATAGAATGGAACTTTGTGCTAAAAAAAAAAGAAGAAGAAATGTTATGAGATTGCAATATTAAAAGCTCAAGGAATAGTTTGAGCATAGCAACTGGAAAGCAAATAGTGTCTTGGTTTCTGTTCTGTCATTCTGTACTGTTTAATCTTAGAATATGGTTGTTTTGTAAATTCTGTAATCAATAAAGCAATGCTCTTACAATGCCAAGCCTATCCATCTTCTCCTTCTCTCCTAATATGCAAAGCTACACATGCCAGAACTGCGTATTCTTGCAACCCTTTTACTTTTGCATTATTTGACTGCCCCTAGGAATCTAGACCTTCTCTCTTGGGAGGTGTCCTGGAACATTTTGCACACTGCTGGTAGCAGAAAGACTTGCCTATGTCTCGTGGCCATTGCTGGCCAATGAGCTCAGGTTCTTGTACCTCTGAGATGCTGCTGCTTTCCTGAGATGATGGAGGCTGCCAGTTGTGGTCTTCACTCCCATACCTGTTTCATCAGGTGCTCTCAGGGCTCTGACTTGGCCTTCTAAAGATATACTGTATTGAGAAGGCAGGGAGTGAGTCTAAGCAGACACTGATGATCTTGCACTTCCTATGGGTCAAGTGCCTCCTCTGAGGTGGAGACTAGTTTTTCACACACACACACTTCAGAGGAATCTTCTCAGCCAGTGGGGCCACAGCTGAGGCAATTGATGCTGGAACTCAGCCACCATCTCATACTCAAGGACTTCTGGTCTGAAATTGCAATGGAGTCTTTCCAGTGGCTCTAGTGTAATAGTAAACTCCTTATGTGTAGGAAATATCCTTAGCAGTTACACATAGTCTGTGCTCAGGGAAATAGTCAGGGGAGAAGACATCTCCTGCCAATTTGATGTGACTAGGAACAGCACAGAAGAGACTTTGCTTGGGCAGGTGCAGGACCACACCAAGGAGTGTGTAAGCCCCCTGCATGTCACACTAAGCAATACTTCAAAGGTGATAAGAGGAGAAAACATAAAGCCACCCTTGGCAATGATTTCACTACTATATTAATAAGCTAAGCAGTACTGGGTATGAGCTCAGACTGGAAGGGTAAGCTCAGTTTTGTTTGCAACTCTAGTTCTAAGTCACTTGGCTAGTAGCTAACAGTCCGCAGGACCCTGTCAGAGTTTCCCTCCACTAATTATTACAGCTGTGTGCTAACCAGGTGAACCTGTACAGCAGCCAGCCTAGTCCCAGCACAAACATCCTCCTGAGGAAGACACTCAGGAAAGCTACTTTAAATATGAATAAGATAGTTGAAGACTTGCAATTTGATTAAGTTCTTCATTGTGATATAGTTAAATACATAAATATTCTCAGGGTTTTTTTAAGAAGTGACAGTCACATAGAATAGTTCATGTTCTTCCAGATTTTGACCTACTTCACACCATTCTTTTCTCACCGGAGAGAAAAAATACTGAAGCATCTTTGACAAGGGGAAATGAATCCCATTTTAATTTGAAAGGTCTCTGCCTTATTCAGTTCCTCTCCTGAAAGAATTTCTTAAAAGGAAGTTGTAAAGCAGTTGTGAGAGCTTCCCCCCCTGTGGTTTATGCTCATAAAGCAACAGTAGAGGCAGGAAAGGCCACCTTGCCGTTTCAGCAATGTATGTTAACTACCTTGAGAAAGCTATTTGTCTCGAGACTTCACTGGTCATTACCCCCGTTTCTCACGAACAAAGAACACACAAGGAAACAATGCAATTCAAAAATTTAATGTTGAACCAGGCAGTAAGAATGGAAAGTCCACTCCTTAGGAGGAGTAACTGTACACAAATAAATAAGTTACAGTTTAAACAAAAGCACAACTGGCTTTTTAAAGTGCATGTGTATAAGGCCCTTAGGCTATGAACTCCATTGGCTCAATATAAAAAAAATAATAGCTAAGTATTATATAAATCTGCCATATGTTTAAGGATGAAGAAGATCTGGCTCAGCTCAGAACAAGCCAACAGCTTCATTGCCTGGAGCCAGCCATGCTTCACACCTTTTGTTCCTTTTGTGCCTACTGCACATAGGAGAGAAAGGTGTCTTAGAATGGCATCTATAATAGACTATCACTCCAACTCCACACTCATTCCTCAGAAGCTCCATGTTGGATCATTTAGTCTGGACAGTACTTTTTTTAGACAGTAAAAAACTCCACAAGTTGCTTGTAATTAGATATGCTTACACCTTTCAAAATTTTTGCATACAAAGAGTCTGGTCAAGTTCTCAGCAATAACATGGCTAGTAAAAAAGTAAAGGACAATTGTCTTGATACTTAGTCCTGTCCACTTATTTTACACATACTTTTACAGAACAATTTCACATTTGCTTATTTGTTTTGAAAGAAGACAGGGAAAAAACAGTTCTACCATGCAATAAAATTAAACAGATACACCATGCTGTCCTTCATCCATGTGAGAACAAAAGTCAAGTGGTTGCTTCTGTACAGTGAACTGCAGTTCAGGGCGTTTCTCTGCTCAAGTACAAGTTGAGTTACAGCTAAAAGGTTGTTTCTGCACAAATCTGTCCGACTAGGGAAAGGGCAAACTGTTTCATTTACTGAAAAACTCCTTTTCCAGGTCAAAAAACCTGTTCTGCAAGTCACATTGTAGAAGTATTTTTCAGGAGTTTTGGGGTGGGTTTTTTCCCCCCTTCCCAATCTGACACATTTCCTTTTTAAAGCAACTGCTTAAAGACTTCTACAGCCATGCAAAAGGCTATTGGAACCATCCTCCTTCTAGAGACCAAGGCATTGTGAAAGACGTGCCAGTGCTAAACACACCAGGTTTCAATCTCAGGCTAAACACTGGGTAGACCAAGGACTGTCAAACAGAAGTGACAGTCCTCACTTTGGCAGACAAAGCTTGCTTAAACCTTCTCTTCAGATCCTGCATGTTGGGTGATTTTGGCCGTGGAATAAGAGAGGTTCTTCTCCTCTCAGGGGTGCTGTTTATTTGCTGTTTACTGACTTCTTTACAGAGGAGATGGAAGGCATTGAAGACATTGTTATAGTTTTCACTGACAGATACTTCATAGAAAGTGCAGCCCAGCATATTGGCCAGCTGAAGTCCCTGCTGAGGCTCCACCTCTTTGATATGCAAGAGATCAGCTTTGTTTGCAACAATGACAACAGGGACTGTGTTCCCTGGATGCAGCTGTCGAACATGATGGTAAAGGTGACTGAGTAGTTCAAAGCTCTTATAGTCTGTGATGGAGAAGACAATCACCAGGGCATCTGCCCAGCGAATGCATCTGTTCAGTTGCTCATTACAATCCAGACTGTGTTCATGGATCTGAAAAATGAATGGTCTCAAATTAGATAGCTGAATTCATAAAAGATTAAAGGAACCTGTCTTCAGGAATCTGTAAAGCCAAATAGCATTTTACAGCTTCAGACACATATTTGTATTTCACATTTTAAGTATTAATTCAATCTGAGCACGGCAAATAAATGCAGATGTTGATTCAGCTGCAAAAAGCTGGAATTTAACACTGGAGTTTGCTATACTCAAATGGAAAATTGACCTGAGTAGTTCTGCATGCAGAGAAAGACTTTGTAGTTTCACAGAATGGGAAATTAACTGGCTAGACAGAAAGTCTGGGGAAGCAAAGATATGAGCTGGAAGCATTTAGACCTGGAGTGTTGCCCAGCTGAAAAAGGCAACAATCCAGCATTACTCAGGTCTATACATTCAAAACTTTAACTTGTGACACACTATGAGCAGAGCCACAACCTAGCAGACTTCACTTTTTGTCATACACATTTATGAAGCTTGCTTTGGTTATGACATTTTTTTCCTGATGTACCTTTTTTGCACAGAATTATTTCTGGTTGTGTGCCTAGCGTTCCCAATATACAGGAACACGACACTTCAGTAATTCAGCCACTCAAAAGTAATGGGCCTCCAACGAACAAATGATTCATCAAATCAGTGAGTTGTTTTCTTTGACTACCAGCACACTGCAGACACCCAACACAGCTGGCTTGACTGGTTAAAGCACAAGCTACCACCTCTCCCACACAGAGCACCAAACCCTGAAATGGACAGCAAAATATTGTCTAGAAAGACCATAGCAAGATGCTGCACAGAGGGACAAACACTCAAAAATTTAGTTACTCTAGTAAACAGTATGGTTGCATCTAGCTCACCTGAACTCCTGGAGTGTCTTGCACTTGGATGGCCAACATCTCTCCATCTATCTGGATGTGCCTGCTGTAGAGATTACCTGGCAAGAACACCAACAAATTCACAAGTGCAGCCACCACTCTAGAGACAAATGTTGCTTCTGCTGTCCATTAATTGTGTGAGAAAAGTTGTATCAGCACTCATGAAGCAAGGAACCAGCATTACAGACTTCTTGTGTGTTGACAATCCATACATTTATGATATCACTAGAAGCCTGGGATTAAATCTTGCATTGACTTGTTTTGAAGCTTGGCATTTAATAGTGTGCAAGTTGAAACGCAATCACTTCTTAAAGACTGTCTTAACTTAGATAATAAAAGGTAAGAATGCAAAATAACCAGCTTTTAGGAGACATAAAAAAAGCAGTTTGCTTGTCATTTAGCATCCGCACACTTTAGTGCAGCTCCCTGCTGGCTGGCCTGTAAGACTTGCTGGGGTTTGGTTTTTTTCATTTGTTTGGCTTTTTCAGGTAATTTCCTCAAGAGAATGCTGTGTATTTTACACTGACATTAGCTTGGCTCCTCTCCATTTTCCCCTTTAAGTTGTCCCTGTCTAGCCCATGTAGCTGCTGGCACTCAGTTTGCAAAGAACAATACAACAGTAGGTTTGCTGAGTGTTTTCTAGTTTTAACTAAAAGACTCCTTCAAAAAGGGGTACTCGCCCGCCTAAAGTGAGTCCTGCCGGAGAGGGAGGTGCAGCAAACCCATCCCTGGGGCCCATCGCGGATCGCCTGGGGCTGTGCCCTG